GTTCCGGAGAAATTCCTAATACCAATTCTGGAGAATTTCCTGAGACCAATTCCAAATAAATTCCTGACACTGGTTCCGGAGAAATTCCTAAGTAAAATTCTGGAGAATTTCCTGACTCTGGTTCCGAAGAAACTTCTAAATTCAATTCTGGAGAATTTCCTGAGTCCAATTCCTTAAAAATTCCAGAGTCCAATTTCAAAGAAATTCCTGGGACCATTTCCAAAGAAATTCCTAAGACCTGTTCTGAAATAATTTTCTTGTCTGATTCCTGAGAAAATCTCTAATTAATTCCAAAAAAATTCCCAAATTAAATTTCGGGGAGACTCCTGACACCAGTTCCGGAGAAATTTTAGTGACCTATTCAGAGGAATTTCTCAATCCAAGGAAATTCATGTAACAACTTCCAGGGAATTTTTTCACTGAAATTTCTCTTAACATTTTCTGGAGAAAATCCAGTGAAAATGTCATCAGGTATTCCAGGAAATTTCTTGTAACCCATTCCGAAGAACTTGATTTAGGAATTTCTCCAGAATTTCCTAAGAATGAGTTCCCCAAAAAACAAAAGAGTCCAATTCCGGGGAACATCTTGTAACCAATTCCGGAGAAAATCCCAAAACTAATTCCTGAGAAATTCCTGAATCAAATTCTTCGGAATGAGTTACGGGAAATTCTCCGGAATACCTGTCAATATATTCTCCGGATATTCCCATGAAAGATTTCTTAGAATTTCCGAGGATTCCTGGGAAAGATTCCAGGGAATTTCCGCAGATTTTCCGCGAAATTGTTACTTGGGTAGAGTGAAAATAAACCACCATCAGAATCTCAAAGGAATTTGCTCGGATGTTTGGGGTTTTTGGAAATTCTGCAAATTTCTTGGTGTTTTGGTAATTTTCCTAATTTCTTGGCATTTGAGAAAATTACCATAGATGGAAAAAAAAACACAAGCCCTCAGATTCTCTCAAGAATTTCTGAAATTCCCCAAAAGTCTGGATATTTTCTGAATTTTCTAAATTGCTAATCATTTGGGGAAGTCCCCAAATGTGACAAAGTCTGGGTATATGGGGAATTTCACAATTGTCAAAGTATGTGGGAAACTCAGTTAATGTTTAAGTAGTTGAGAAATTCCCCAAATTGCTATGTATTTGTAAGAGATGTAAATTAATAAATATACATATGCAACCATTTTTTAAGGTGCATGAATTGACCTTTATCTTGCAGTTGACTTTTTTGCCAGTTGACCATTTTGCCAGTTTACTATTTTGTTCAGTTTGTAGAAGCAGGAATCTGAGTGGACAAATCCAAGAAATGCTCGAAGATAAAGAAGAAAATCTCCGAACAAGAAAACGAGAATCTAGGAGGGAGTCCGTCTCTACCCTTCAACTTGAACAGATCTACTCTTCGATATAAATATCTGTTTATTAAATAGATACCAAATAAACTATATATTGGAATTGTTCATACTCTCTAAAAGTTAACCATTTAAACCTTTAACCAAATTAACCAATAAGACAATCAAAGTGAATTTTGAAAATAATTTAATGATAAACATAAATCTGAGCATTTAGCCAGGGTATTGTGAAAACTGTTATTATGTCTAAATGAATGCAGTTCAATAATTTCAAAGCATTAAGTTTTTGCAAATTTCTGGCATTTTAATGACGTTTCCTTGTTTATCTATCTATTAGTTTTTGAAAAATGCGGAAACGGATCAAAAATATGAGGAAACGGATCAAAAATTTGAGGAAACCAATCAACAAATTGAGATTTATAAAGTTTTTGAAAAAAGCAGAAACAAATCAAAAATATTAGGATAGGAAACTAAAATTTAAGTAAACCATTCAACAAATTGAGATTTTTAAAGTTTTGAAAAAAGCGGAAGCGGATCAAAAATATGAGGAAACGGACCTAAAATTTGAGGAAACTGATCAACAAATTGAGATTTTTAAAGTTTTGAAAAAGCAGAAACGGATCAAAAATATGAGGAATTGGACTTAAAATTTGGGGAAACCAATCAACAAAATGAGATTTTTAAAATTTTTGAAAAAAGCGGAAACATATCAAAAATATGAGGAAACGGACCTAAAATTTGAGGAAACCGATCAACAAAACGAAATTTTTCAAGTTTTTGAATAAAGCGGAAACAAATTTAAAATATGAGGAAACGGACCAAAAATATTGGGAATCCCCTCAAAAATATTGGGAAATCCCTCAAAAATATTTGAAATAAAAATTGATAAAAATATAGGGGAAACAGTTATACAATTCTGGGAAATCGATCAAAAAAAAGAGGAAACTCCTCAAAATTTGAATTTAGAGGGATTTCTGAAAAATTTGAAGAAATCATGGAAACATCTCAAAAAAACCTACTTTTGAGGGGTTTTCACGTATTTTTGATCCAATTCCGTGTTAAGGCGTTTCCATGTCACCTGTGTAGATAGCCAAAGGGACATTATTCCAATACTGTTATAGACGCAAAGCCTAGTACCTGTGGATCGGTGAGCTAAACAGTTCCCCATGAGCTCTTCAATTATGTGGTTTTTACCTCCATTGGATTAGCATCATTTTCTTTAGTTGAATATTGTAATAAATGTTTGGTGTATATATTGTGTTGTAATTTAGATGTATATATTTGGTTATTATGTCAACTTTAAGATTAACATTATACCTGGGTATTCCAGGATACCAGGGTGTTCTAGGATATCAGGGTATTGTAGGATATCCAGGTATTCCAGTATATCAGGTAATTCCAGGATATCAGGGTATTCCAGGATATCAGGGTATTCCAGGATATCAGGTTATTCCACTATATAAGGTAATTCCAGGATATCAGGGTATTTCATAATATCAGGGTATTTTGATATATCAGGTAATTCCAGAATACCAGGGTATTCCAGGACACCAGGATATTCCAGGATATCAGTGTATTCCAGGATATCATTGTATTTCAGGATATCAGGGTACACTGCCCGAGTAGAATCTTAGAGTCGGGAACCTAGTCTTAGGCGCCGGGCCGACTTTCTCATACATCCCCTATAGAAGGGTGTCATATCATTTGGACGGATGATTAAATGGACTAACGTTCGTTTGGACTACTGTTTTGGTTCATACGTGGACTAATAATTAAAGAAAAATCCATAAATCATTTTTTAAAATCTTGCAGAGAATACTAGGTTCTTCAAATATTATATATGTGCACAATTTTGGACATTTTTTTAAAATTGCAACTGTCTCAGGAATAAATGTACATTTTGGTTAGTTATTATTTATAACAGATGTTGAATTGAAAAAATATTTGAAACAGATATCAGATACAATTATTTTTCTTTTGCATTGCATTTCCATGTGTCATTGGGATACAAAATATGGACGATCTCACGAAAATTTAACAGTAAGGAATTAAGTCTTTGCCACAAACTCATGATTTTCTAATCGCATTATCAATACAACTCAATGGCATACTATACTCAAACTATGTATTCTGTTAGGTCAAAAAACCTAGTTTAAATTATTAAAGGTTTAGACATTCTGGTTGCAAAGATATAGGAATTAGAAAATTTGAGTTTGTGACAACGAATCACTTCCTTTGCCTAAAACATCTAAGAGAAAATAACCAAAAAGTGCTCTGAACTTAAAATATAAAACATTACCGATTTTTGCCTAAATGTAAATGGAAGAAATGAAAAATTGAAAAATATTGAATTGTATTTGTAGAATATGGTGACATGGAAACGCCTCAATAAGGAAACAGATCAAAAATTATTTTTGAGGAATTTCCGTTTTTTTTTTTTAAGTTCGAGGAAATCCCTCAAAAGTTCAGAATTGTTGAGGGATTTCCGAATATTTTGTATCCGTTTCCCAATATTTTTAGTTGAATTGTTTCCTCTTTTTTTGATCAACTATCTCATATTTCTAGGTCCGTTTCCTCAGTTTTTTTATCCGTTTCCGATTTTTTCAAAAATTTTTAAAATCTCAATTTGTTGATCGGTGTCCTCAAATATTAGGTCCGTTTCCTCATATTTTTGATCCATTTCCGCTTTTTTCAAAAACTTAAAAATTCCTAATTTGTTGATCGGTTTCCTCAAATTTTAGGTCCGTTCCTCATATTTTTGATCCGTTTCCGCTTTTTCAAAAACTTTAAAATCATATTTTTTTTTGTATCTGCAGGGGCGTACCGAGATGCTCTCAGGGTAATGTTGATCCGCTCTACTGCCCATCCGTCCTATTGCCCATCCGCTATACTGCCCATCCGTCCTATTGCCCATCCGCTATACTGCCCATCCGTCCTATTGCCCATACGCCATACTGCCCATCCGTCCTATTGTCCATCCGCTATACTGCCCATCCGACCTATTGCCCATCCGCTATACTGCCCATCCGTCCTATTGCAACATCTGACCTACGACAGCTGTAGGTCGGATGGGCATATCTTCTTGCCCATCCGACCTATTCAGTAGCTTTTGTCATGCCTATAGCGCAGTAGGGTAGAAATAATTAATTGTAGCTGTCGGACGGCCACTCAATTTTGTAGGTCGGATGGGCACTTTTTGTAGGTCGGATGGTCATTTTTCGCAGGTTGGATGGGCAGTTTTCGTAGGTCGGATGGGCATTTTTCGTAGGTCGGATGGGCATTTTTCGTAGGTCGGATGGCCACTTTTTGTAGGTCGGATGGGCATTTTTCGTAGGTCGGATGGGCATTTTTCGTAGGTCGGATGGGCATATTTCGTAGGTTGGTGGGCATATTTCGTATGTCGGATGGGCACTTTTTGTAGGGGGTCCGAGCCCTGCGGCCATGAAAGACCTTTAATTCAACAAATTTTAATAAAATTAGTGTATATTTAGGGTTAGGTTAGGTTAAGCTCATTTCTGGGCCGAGCGCTGCGGNGCCCATCTGACCTACGAAAAGTGCCCATCTGACCTACGAAAAAATTAAGAAAAGAGCACAACCTTTACTTCCCACTCCATTGCAACAATCTTCTTCATCTTCTCGAAGGTAAGATGTAAAAATTGTATTCGTGGTACTAGTATAAGCTCAACATAAGGAAACTAAAAAGACTAAGGGACTTTGGCGTTATGTTATTTAAAATGGCTGTCCATTCAAACTGTTATTTACACGATTTACAACATTCAGCCTAAACTAAGCTTTAGGTACGTACTGTAGTAAAGTGCTGTACACTGCTCGAAGAAAAAGCAGGTTTAAGTAGAGATTGCATTAAACTTTGTAGTGAAGTAAGAAGTTTTGATTTCTCCATATCAGCTTCTTCCTGGAGCCTTTCCTGTTCTTCCTTTCTCGCTTCTTCCATCTTCTTCCTTTCTCTCTCCCTAACCTCACTTGCTTTCCGCTCTTCCTAATAAATATCAACAATTTAATTTATCTCAAAACTAAGACGACATTTATAAAAATCTTGGCGTTAAATCTGTTGCAAAATAAATGTAGGAAAAGTGGTCAAAGTTCACTGATTGGTGCTGTTTATGTTTTCAAATATATATATACATAAAGTTGTAATTTCTGTTCTAGTGTCTTTCTGTCTGTCTGTCTGTTTGTTTGTCCGATAATAACTCAGGAACCTCAGGACCGATCTTTGTCTCAAATTTTGAATGGGGAACTTGGAAGACCCACGGGAATGTTCTTAGCTTGGTTTTGAGATTTAATAGCTAAAATTGTGTTTCCCGGTAAAATCGTTCAAGTGCAGGTGAACGGCGGGAGTAACTTTTAGCAACCTGGGCAGCGCTGGGTTCCCAAGCTAGTATTAAAGATGAAATATATTCCAAAATCCTAACTTATTGTTGCAATCTAAGCTGAATATCCCAAAACTAACAAGCCGTGCAAATGTTTATATATGTCCAGGGTTAACCACTAAGAATGAGACTTTGCTGACAACCAAAATCTAATTAGATTTAGAGATCTTACATTTGAATTTGGATTTTTCTAGAATCATGCAGAGAAAGAGAATGAACAGAAAAAAAAGAATAAACGAAAGAAAAAAGTTCCCAAGGTTTCAGGGACTCTGAGTCAAATGTAGGTTTGATAAATTGAATTATACAAAGGAATTGAGTCTTTGCAACAAACTATGATTTTCTAATCACTATATCTTTGGAACCGAATGTTGCAGGCCTTAAATATTTCAAACTATGAATCTGTTAGATCAAGTAATCTGAGTTTGAAATATCAAAGGTTTACAACATCGAGTTCTAAAGATATTGAGGTTTAAAGATTTGATTTTGTTCCAAAGACTCAATTCCTTTGCTCTTAAAAACAACATTTAATGGGCATAATTGAAGAAATAAAACATATAGTCGGATTCTGCAGTGAGGCTCATATGTTTTGCACTCTTGCAGTGTTGTTTAGCTGGTATAATTTTATTGAAAAATGGCAAGACGTAACAGAAAAAAACAGGATTTTTGGGTCATTTTTCAACGATTTTAACTAAAGATAATTTTTCCATGATCTGAACATGATATCCGACCATTTTTCGAACTATTTAGAAAAATACTTTATTTTTGCCAATGGCCTGTAAAATGCGACCCTACCCAAGTAACAAAAGTGAGGAATTTCCCGAGATTCTCCAACCGCTGTGACTTTTATCCGAGGAATTTCTCGAGAATTATTTCCTGTAACTTATTCCTAGGAAATTCTCGAGAAATTCCTCAGTATTGGTCCCCAAGATAAGAGATTTATTGGGGATCACAGTTTTGAGACTCAGTTTCGAGAAATTCCTGAGAAATTCCTCGGAATTTTCCCCCAAGAAATTCCTCAGAATTTCTCCGGAATTTTTCGTAGGTCGGATGGGCATTTTTCGTAGGTCGGATGGGCATTTTTCGTAGGTCGGATGGGCATTTTTCGTAGGTCGGATGGGCATATTTCGTAGGTTGGTGGGCATATTTCGTATGTCGGATGGGCACTTTTTGTAGGGGGTCCGAGCCCTGCGGCCATGAAAGACCTTTAATTCAACAAATTTTAATAAAATTAGTGTATATTTAGGGTTAGGTTAGGTTAAGCTCATTTCTGGGCCGAGCGCTGCGGCTAGGACAGGCTAGGTGGCCGAGCGCTGCGGCCACATGTCTGGGCCGACCTACGAAAAACGCCCATCCGACCTACGAAAAGTGCCCATCTGACCTACGAAAAAATTAAGAAAAGAGCACAACCTTTACTTCCCACTCCATTGCAACAATCTTCTTCATCTTCTCGAAGGTAAGATCTGATCCTGGTTCAAACTTAGCCAGCTCCTCATGTTTATAGTAATCAAACTGTGGATAGTGAGTGTTGTCCTCAGGAGCATACTGATAGCACTGAAGGGTGGCACAGTAGTCGTCAGACACATTCTTTAGTTGATGGGTTTGGAACCAGCGCTCATTCATCCAGGTGTAATCCCCCTTACTAGCATTAAACCTGTCAAGATGTTCTAGACGCTTAGCTGGAGGGTTTGTGATCTTATTAAAGATACTGCATTGAATGCTTCCATGGAGCACCTTGATTACTGCGCTGCATCTTCCATGGTTGTGGATTGGACTTTCTGCCCCTGCTGGCCATATCTCTAGAACATTAGGACAACCAGGGGAGTTCCCCTTATTTTCTCCAATAGTAATCCTCAAATACGACTTTTCCTTAAGTATCTCATTGAGGATCAAGCCTTCTGTCTCAATACTGTTTCTAATTTGTTTTATTAGAAGAGGATCAAGATCCTTGATTCTTTTAATGTCATTGAAGATTTTTTTGCACTCACAAGGTAGATGGTTGGGCAAAAAAAAATGAGCTACATCCAAATCTTCCAATTCAACTGGTTTAAACTCCTTTAGAATAGGAGATGGAGTAGAGATTAGAGGCTCTTTGTTAACCAAGATCAAAGGCTCATAGTCAATGGATCCTTTATTAATTTTGTCCTCTTCGCAATCCTTCAAACTACCATAGAGAAGAACTGTACTCCTACAGTTAGGGTTGGGCTTTAAGAAGAGTTTAAATTTGTCATAAGAGCTATCTTCAAAGGCATAGGACATCAATGTTGTTTCATCCATGGTGTGACCTTTTCCATATTTCAATTTCTTTCCATCCTTGTCATATGACCACCAATAAGTTTGCCTAACTCCTTCTTCCAGTCCATTGGAGCATGTTTTCAAGGTTTCAAGTTTTTCTTCCCCAAGTTTTATTTTAAACTCAGCACCATCCGGTCCAATGTTAAGAACAACATAGTTTGTATACCTTTCAAGGTTGTCATCAAACTCATCATTCTTTTCTTCCGGCACTATCACCAGAGAGAATGGTTTATCAAACTTACTGGTACAACAGATTGTACCTAAAATAAGAAAATTTTATTTTTCAGAATAAACATGCAACCCTAAACAGCTGACAATAATTTAGCAGAGGAAAAAGATTACACAATTACCTCTTGAAGCAAGGCTTATCAATTTTGAACAATATCTGAATGTTTAAACTTAAGCCATTTGAAAATCTTGCATTACACATAAAAAATGCTTATACAACTCTCCTTATCTTATGAAAAATGAGAGATTAATTCAGACTCCAGAAAGGGGCTGTGGAGTAATTTTAAGTAACCCTCCAATTACATAAAAAGTAGCATGAACCTTGGTGGAGAAATCCAAGTTTTATTTCTAAAAATTTTGTGCAAAGTTATCAACTATTACAAGTGTTTCTGCTCGAGAAGATAAAGATAAATTTGTCATCCTTAATCCTTAGGCCATATTTCAGAGTTAATTTAAATTGGTTCTACGTAGAACAGTCTGGTCTAGGTTTTGGCATACATAAGTAACTCTAAATTTCCATTTTATATGATACTAGCTGAAGGGCCCGCGGCGTTGCCCGTAGAACTAATAAATTATTTTTTTAAAATTTTGATTTTTAAAAAATACAAATTTTAAAATTTTTTAGATTATGTGTTCCCATGGGTGCCCTAAAAAAATTTCAGCCTACTGGGTCCAACCATTTCGCTGGCTTTAGTGAAAATATAAACCAATGTTTTGTTTTATTATATAGATTTAATACCTTTGAAACAAGTATTAAAGTTTGCTTTTTCACAAAACTGTTTAGATGCCATGTTTTCTGAAATAAATGTTCAATATCAAAATTCATGTAAGCATCTAATTTGATCTTTAAATGGTTGTTCTTAAAATTAAATTATTTGATCTAACAAAATCAATAGTTTGAAATGTAAAGGGTTGCAAAAGATATAGAAATCGTTAGAAAATCGTAGTTTGTGACAAAGACTCAATTCCTTTGTATAGTTCAAATTAATTGCATAAAGACATAAACAAATGATATTTTAAAGTATGGGAAGGCGTGAACGGATTGAAACAAAGCTTAAACATGCCCAGCCTTAATCTAAAGTATTTTTTGTTATCAGTTTTCAAGTTCAAAGACAAACAAGAGAGGAACTAATTACTTGTCACAAGCTCTAAATTTTAGATCTAAAGGTCGGGCTATGGGTATTTAGGAAAAGTCAGAAAATTTCAACAGCCTCAGACTAATAATTTTTGAGTTAAGTAACAAAATCAACAGGGGGGGGGGCAAGAATAGGGTTAAACACCTATTCAAGACCATTTAACAACCTAAGATCTAATTTAACCTTGAAATCTTTAGAAATTCAGGACGTGCTTTGCCCTGGTAACCCTGTACAATAACATCAGAAAGGCCCAAAAAAAGGATCTAGTAAAATAACTTCTATTTGATATTGCAACTATCAAAATCCAACAAATTGAAAGCTGCCATATTTACCAGGACACTATGTACGTACATTGTATTTTTTGTATATGAATTGTTTAACAAATAGATAAAAATAGAATATTTTTTTAGATTTGCCCAATTTGCGCAAAATTATCTTATTGTTTAAAAAATGTTGCTCAATAATTTTTGCGCATGATGTGGAATGTAAAATCTAGCGTAAAATCTGTGCCGCTTGATAAGCAAGAATTGGCTCAAAAAATTGCAAAAAAATGTTCGAGAAAAAAGCCCAAATTTAGTTGTTGGTAGTGTCTAAATGCTGATCTTAAAAACACTTTGAAAAACTTAAATAAACTTTTTTTTAAATTATTTACAATATTGTACAAATCGTACAAAAATTACTAAAATCTAAAAATAATTAATTAATTAATTAAAAACACAAAAAAAATATTGTTTTCCCTTGTAAGGGTTTAGAACGAAAATTTTAAGAAGACTGTAAAATTTAGTAATAAAGTAATAATGCTTATCTTTCACGATACTTCATTTTTTAAAAACACTTCTAAGGGGTTTGAACTTTTTTCTACACAACATTTTTTTTAATTTGACTGTCCATGAATTTTCCCTTTGTTCATGTGAGTTGACACTAAAAAATGTTGTTCCTCTTTTTTGTGCCTTAACCCTATCCCTGTTGGACTATTTTTGTGCCTTAACCCTATCCCTGTTGGACTATTTTTGTCTTATAGCTTATATTGTAAGACATGAATTTTCTGTAAATATTTGCTTGTAAATAGTATGCCGTTTACTTGCCTGTAAATAAGGGGGGTGAGATAGGGTTAAATGAAACACTAAGGGGGTGGGATATGGTTAAATGGAACACTAAATTGTAGGTTTGTCAAATATATGGTTTCCAGAGAACGATAACTTTCGCGAAAAATATAAAAATTGTCTTTCTTATTTCGCAAACCTTTTCGCGAATTTTCGCATTTTTTCTGTTCATAAAAAAATAAATGTGCCGTAGACCTTATATGTTTCAAACAAATTCTGTCAGATCAAATAAATTAAGTTCCAAATAGCAAAGGTTAAGGTTTACACGATCAGGTTGCAATGATACTCGGATAAGAAAATTTTAGTTTGTGACAAAGATTGACTAAATTTCTGTGGCATATTATACAAAATGTGTGACAAAGCATGGATTGTTCGCACACAGCATGTATCTTGAAACATAAAACACTTAAGTGTTTTAATATTGTTACAAAGCAAATAGCTTTACAAGACACTATTAGATAACTAATTTAGTAACATGGGTCTGTTTACACTGCACAAATGCCATGGTTCATGGTCATTGGATTTTTAAAAATTATAACTTGATTCTAAAAGTCGTCTTACTTTTTCAGAGTTTTCTGGTTTTCACTGTATCCATCTACATGATTAATATTTATTGGTTCTCACTGTATCTACATGATTAATATTTTCTGGTTCTAATTGTATCTACATGATTAATATTTTTTGGTTCTCACTGTATCTATATGGTTAATATTTTCTGGTTCTCACTGTATCTACATGGTTAATATTTTCTGGTTCTCACTGTATCTACATGGTTAATATTTTCTGGTTCTCACTGATTGTATCTACATGATTAATATTTTTTGGTTCTCACTGTATCTATATGGTTAATATTTTCTGGTTCTCACTGTATCTACATGGTTAATATTTTCTGGTTCTCACTGTATCTACATGGTTAATATTTTCTGGTTCTCACTGTAACTACATGATTAATATTTTCTTTCTTCAGGAATTCAGAAGCTCCAAATAAAAACCCGGTTTCCACCAAAACCGAATATAAGAAATTTGAGTTAGGTTACTGAACTCCATACTGCTGTTTAAAATTTGAATCACTGATTCAAATTTAAAGATTCTAGAGGATTTAAACCGGTGATTTAGGATTTGAACTGGCGGTAGGTAGCTTAGCGACCTCTCCGATTGATTAAATTCGGTCCCAGGCTCGGTATTTAAGGGAAACCCCAAAAGTCGGATCTATACTACAGCCTCCTCCTTCAGGAAAAAGGTGGAAACAACAAGAAGTTTTAATCAATGAAAAATATCAAATGGGTAGAGGTTTATTAAATAGATTAATGACCCTCCCCCCCCCTGATATTTGTTAAGCTTAAATTAACAATTCTCTTTAGGATTGCAGAAGATTGACAATTTACACTGAAAACATGAATTCGATATAAAACTTCAATCTTTAATCTTAATATTCTATTAAAGTGGAAAACCATAAAAAAATCATATTTGCTATTATTTTAACTCTAAAAATGTCTCCCCCTTCTTTCTGCGGTATCGATAATGTGTATGAAATCATTTATTGTTCGTAATCTCCAGTTATATTTCTGAATCCCTCCAGTGGAATTATAAACCCTTACATAGATATCTGAATCCCTCCAGTGGAATTATAAACCCATAGGAAGGATATCTGAATCCCTCCAGTTGATAACCCCCTGGATAGATTTCTGAATTCCTCAGATAAACCCCCTAGATAGATATCTGAATCCCTCCAGTGGAATTATAAACCCTTACATAGAGATCTGAATCCCTCCAGCGGAATTATCAACCCATAGGAAGGATATCTGAATCCCTCCAGTTGAATTTTAACCACCCTGAAAAGACATCTGAATCCCTCCAGAGGAATGTAAATCACCCTGCATTAAGTTTCAAATTGTAAAAAGCATTTTAAAACCCCTTCGGTGAAAATAAAATCCCTCTGGTGGTCTCCAGTAGAATCAAAATTTTACTACGAACTTCTTTGAGTCTTTTTTAATTTCAGTATTGTAAAATTTTAAAAAATCCAATTAACGTTACAAAAACTGGAAAATGGATTTTCAATATTATAAACACATCACGCCCAAACTCCCTAAACCCATTAAGATTAATTAATGTTTTTGCAGGGGTGTAAATAATTCTAATTTTTTTATTTCCCCAACCCCCCTCCACCCTTCTAATTTTTTTATTTTCTTCCCCAAATTTGATAAATCAATTTTTATATTTACCTACCTACCCTACCTTCCCCATACCTTTCCCTTTTTTTGAGTACACGGTTCAGTATTGATAAGTCAACCGAAATGAAGACTGGTCCTAAAACTATCTGGTTTAAAATACTAACCTTTCAAGAGTCAATTGGACTTATTTTTGGGTCAGCATGGGTAGGACGGATTCTAACCCTCTTCTTTACATCAATTCAAATAGGAAAAACATAAATAATATCTGAGAAATCATAATTTTATTTTGAAATGTCAAGGGACCCCTATTAAAAGATAAAGGGGTGTACATGTTCTTGAAAAATCATTTATTTTAACCTTAATCAATAAAAATTTTGGGTAAAAAGTATAAAAAAACAGAAAAAAATTGCCTTTTCATTTTTTCCAAGATCTTCAACTATCATCCAGAAGTACTTCTTAAAAATATACACTCTGGCACTTAATAGCCTAGACTTACTGGTACAAGTAAATTTGTATACAATACAATAACAATAAGCTGGTAGATATTGTACCGGTCCTAATCTTGCAACAGTTTGACCAGTTTGACTCATAAAACTGCTTTCAGACCCGTATCAATCCAGGTACAACTCTTCATTATCAATGTCAAACACAGACACAGTCAAACTATTAAATCCATAACACTACTGTCTCCTCTGAATTTTTTAGCATATCTATGCTGACCAGCCTGGGTTTTCCTTTCTTATACACTTCTATTTAGGGTTTCCAGCAAACGAAACGTTTCGAGAAAAAATGCGAAAATTTTTCGTAAAGTTTTTTGCACATTTTTGCAAAAATAAATGAAGCGAAGCGAAATGTCGCAAAAATGCGAAATGCGAAAAGTTCGCGAAAATGTGAAAGCAAAATATTTTCGTAAAATGCAAAAATTTTGCAAAAATGTGAAAATTTGGCTCTTTAAATACCCACTATGGTCCTAAGCCATCTCTCAACAATATATTATTATAATATTAGTACTGCCTTGATATGGTGTTCATATTGAAGATCTTTAGGCATGAACTGTAGACAGGTTCTTTGCAGTTCCATGTGGTACAGTCGTCCCATAATTATTGCATTTTTAAACACTGATAGGGTTGGCTTGGGCGTAAGCTTGAATCTGCAAAACCTTAACTTGTCCGTATCATACTCCCTGGGATCTTCATTTCTTCCCTGTCTCCTGGCTGTGAATTCCTGTTTCTGACCTTCCTCGTCTTTTTCTTTTGAGAATTTCGTCAACATCTCTGAGAAAAAATTCTCCTGTCTCATAATTCTCAAATGCTAATCATGTCCTGCAACAGCAATATCTCTTGTCTATCTGATACATGACAATAACATCCTTTTTACTGCTTGGTTTGAGATTGTTTGCCCTTTATGGTTAGACAAATGGCTTTCCAACTTTTTACACCATTCAAACACTTCTTTTGAATTACCACCATATTTCGGAACTTTTTCTACGAAAACCAGTATTCTTGTATCTAAACTAGCTTCAAATTTGCTTAGTTTTTTGTATGTATCTGCATTTGCTGTCTCATTTGTAACCTCTGCATCCTCTGCATCTTTACTTCATTAAATAGGTGCTCACTTGGTTCTTCTTTCTTGGAGACTTAGGCATTTAACTTATACCACCGCTGCCACCACTTCTGTTGTAAATGCCTTACTCATAAAACTGCTTTCAGACCTGTATCAATCCAAGTTCAACTCTTCACTATCAATGTCAAACACGGACACGATCTTGTAAACTATCAATGCCAAACAAGTCAAACAATCTTGTCAGCTATCAATGTCAAAATAAACAAAAGCTTGTAAACTATCAATTTCAAACACGGACATGATCTTGTAAACTATTAATGCCAAACACGGGCATGATCTTGTCAGCTATCAATGTCAATATGGACACAAGCTTGTAAACTATCAATGAGAAACACAGGCACAACCTCTTGAGCTATTAATGTCAACATGGACACGATCTCATAAACTATCAATGCCAAACACGGGCACAATTTCAACAGCTATCAATGTCAACACGGACACAAGCTTGTAAACTATCAAAGTCAAACACAGACATGATATCATCAACTCGTTCACTAAATGCAGTCTATTCCAACTGAAGTGTATTTAGATATCTATGTTACGGGTATAGTTGTTATATGTCTGTACATGATTTGCGCAGATATATATGTATAAGCATAGTTAAAGGGTTAAAGGGACCGTTTACTTATTTGGCTAATTTCAGCGTAAACTCAACAGCCTATTTGCTGTTGATAGGTATTGGTCTTACTTTTCAAATACAACTGTGGCGGGAGAAAAAGCCGATTTTTCATTCTGAATTTCAGCGCAAAGGTATGGTACCTTCGCCATGTAAACTATTTGATGATTTTGTCAATATGTTGTGGAACAAAATAAATTTCAAAAATAAAATTAAACTGTAGTATCTAATCGTTAATTGTAAATGTCATAATTTTTTAAATATCTTTGTTTCTTAACTTTCTATTTCTAACATAACACTATTTTATCGCATTACAAATTTTGTATTGCTTCTGTAAAAAGCTGAATTGAACGCGGCATGAAAAATTAAAAGTTCCCTCCATATGGGAATGGGGTAATAAATTATAATTGGGCATTTAATGATAAATTAAACAACTGATTGAGAAGCACAAATCATATACTATGAAAATACCTGATCTTTTTAGCATTATCAAGTTAATAATTCATTCATTTCGAATTTCTCGGACTGAGACTGCAGTTGATCTTCTTGAACAGGAAAGCTGACAGACGTCTGATGTAAAATAATACTATCAGCTGATTTATTCAATTATTATTTCTATTATTTATTCAATTTATTTGCTTTATTCAAAGATATTTTAATAAAATAAACTATTACTCAAAAATGCATTATTGCAAGTATTGCAATACAATGAAGATGTACATTTTATTCACATAAAACGTAGAGTGAATCTACGAACCGAAATATGGGTAAAGATTAATTGATTGTCGTAGAGAACGTCGTCTTTGTATACACCTTTTACAAATTAAAATATGATAAATTTAAATTTTATTGGGCTGCCCTTGCTGAGGTAACATTAGGGTTGTTAATCGTTTTTGAAAGCAATCATTAAACGATCGTTTTTGTTTAGTTTATCAATTTCTTTCAAAAACAATCGTTTCGTTTTCGGATAAAAATGATCTTTTTTCAAAATGACCCATTCGTTTTGAACTTTTAGAAAATGAATAACAATTGTTTTTGAAAACGATCGTTTTATAAAAACGATTTGCGACCGTTTTTATAAGATTATTTTTTTTAAAAAACTGTGGCTTTTGAAAAAACGATCGTTTTTGAAAAAAAATGTTATTGACAATTATGTTAACGATCGTTAACAAAGCACATTTTGATTTACAGACTATGTACAACATAATTTATCTAGGTATGTTTAAATGTATAACTATGGGATTTTGGTAGGATACTTATTACAAGACCACTGCATGGTCTGTTAAATAATGACATTTATGATTACAAGTTTAGGCTCTACCATTTTTAATGGAAGTTGCTCTGTTCACTATGACCCGAGTACTAAAGGAGCTTTAACTATGCTGCTTATGACATCAATGGGTTGTCTAAGTGGTTCCTTGCCTTTTCTGCTCGGTTATATCAAGAAGCATGCAAGAGACTGTTTTGAAGAGCCAGAGAGACCAAGGAAAATGTTTATTCTTCTTCTCTATAGCTTCATTCTTTTAGGTTTGGTTCTACAAGCGGTAAGATCGTACAGTAGGAATCCCTTAACCCTAACCCAGTTTGTGGGGTGGATTCCACCCTGACCCCGTTTTATTCTCCATAGCTTAATTGAAAACATATTTCACTAGAACAGTCAGACTTCTTCACATTTTAAACATTTTAATTGAGAACATGCTTTGCAACGACGACGACTAAATTACATTTACATTGGTACTATTCATGTCATAGAATGAAATTAATTTTTTCCTGCAATAATCACAAGTACTTTATGAGTAATTTTTATTACTCTGCATTTATTCCATTTTTCCTACCATAAACATTTAAGTAGTGTAACTTTAGATATGGATGCTGATTTCGTCAAATTTTAATTGGTTTTCAATACGTATGACACTGATACAAATTGGTACTATAATATTTACAACTACTGGATTGCTCGCCTTTGGGATGATATCAGCTGGTTTTATAACGCAAATGGAGAACCTTGAAACTGAATTTGGCGATGAACTAGCCAGGGGAAGGAAATGTTTAGAAAAGTTCCGAAGGTTAAAAAAAGGTTTAAGTCCATACCTCTTTGCTGAGTTCTCTTTTAATACATTTGTAATGGTTGTTCTTGTATTCATGGTGGTAGGTGTTTTTAAATCTAAGTTAGACTTGACTAATCTACTGACATTGGGAGCGTACACGATGTTTTCTGGAGTGCAAATGCTCTATATTGGTTTGATGGCAGAAGAGACAAAATCAAAGTTTGGAATTATCTTGCCCTTTCTCAGGTTAAATTGTTTAAAAATTGTTCCCTCATTTGAAAATGTACGTAATATCTTAGTTTTTTAACTTAAGATCAAACTACCATTACTGTTTTTAATTATTGAGAGGCGGAACAGAAATACTTTTTCATTAAAACACATTTTCTGATCAAACTGTATCTTTGGTATATATTTGCCGCTACTTGTCTAATTGCGAAGTATCAAAACAATTATAGGGTTTCCAGTCGTAATTACGTTACACGTAATTACGCGTAATTACGCGTAATTACGCGTAACACTTTTTTTCACTACGCATTACGCGAAATTATGTGCTAGTTACGTAAAAGAAAGAAAGTCTAATTTTGCGTAATTAAGGCGTAATTACGCGAAATTACGTAATACGAAACCATTCCGTAAGTAGTAAAGTTCATATTAATTCTCAGAAATGAATATAGCGGGAAAATATGTGTCCTAGGATATGTGCGATACAACATGCATGTCTAATATGATTGGATACTTTAAATACTTTTAAATTGAATTAAAATTCGGTGATGGACCAAACCTCTGTTGAGAAAAAAATAAGTAGATGTTAGTTCAACATTTTAATAACAAACCTCCTCAGAAGCTTTCTGAGAACGTTAGTTATTTTAAGCTATTATTCTTTTTCTATGAAAAAAATATCCGTAAAAAAGGAAGAAATTCAATATTTAATCTTCTTTAAGATCTGCTTGTTGTAAGCAACCTGAAAAACAGATGGAATACTTACTTCTTATTCAGGAAATTCAACTTGAGGTGAATATTTCTTTATAACAGATATTTTGAAATATTTTCTCTTCAACATTTACTTTTAGGAAACCTTCTCTGGATGTGGGTTCTTTATGATTGAAAAATCTACTTTGTTATCTGCACTTGGTACTATTGTAACATACTCAGTAGTACTCATTACTTCAGATATATAATAGAGTAAACTTTATTATCGGCACTTAGTACTATTGTAACATACTCAGTAGTACTCATTACTTCAGATATATAGAGTAAACTTTGTTATCTGCACTTGGTACTATTGTAACATACTCGGTAGTACTCATTACTTCAGATATATAGAGTAAACTTTATTAGCTGCACTTGGTACTATTGTAACATACTCAGTAGTACTCATTACTTCAGATATATAGAGTAAACTTTGTTATCTGCACTTGGTACTATTGTAACATACTCGGTAGTACTCATTACTTCAGATATATAGAGTAAACTTTATTAGCTGCACTTGGTACTATTGTAACATACTCAGTAGTACTCATTACTTCAGATATATAGAGTAAACTTTATTATCTGCACTTAGTACTATTGTAACATACTTAGTAGTACGCATTACTTCAGATATATAGAGCAAACTTTATTATCTGTACTTAGTACTATTGTAACATACTTAGTAGTACTCATTACTTCAGATATATAGAGTAAACTTTATTATCTGCACTTGGTACTATTGTAGCAAACTCAGAAGTACTCGTTACTTCAGATATATAGAGTAAACTTTGTTAACTGTTTATAGTGTTACAGTTTAGTACTATTGTAACATACTCAGTAGTATTCATTACTTCAGTATTAAGTACACTTTGATATATTACACTATGTACATTGTAAACTAATAATTAATTAAATTAGTTAAAACTAAGTTTTGAATCTACTTTTCCTATCTCTAAATGTGTTCTGTCTTAGAATTCCATTGACAAAATTGTCATATATACAATGCTCAGTTGCCTTCTTAACAAAATGAAACTGTTGACGATTTAAAGGAAATAAATGTTCTCAACTAATTATTTATTTCTTCACATTATTCACCTATTAATACCTATTTTATACACCTGTAAAGCCCCTAGTCTGTACCGGGTGTACTGCAGTCTGATTCTAGAACAACTCACACCTAATCAAGGTTGTAATGCAAGGAAAGTTAATTGTAGTAGCGTATATATACTCTGCGTACATATTTAAACTATTTCTCTCTGGGCGGAATTTGTAAACGAGAATAGATGCATCAGTGTTAGTTTAGTATCCGAGGAGGTTAAAAGGTTTAAATTTTGATAAGATTGATAATTCACATAATAGTTTCCTATGATTAATATATTTCATTGCTTTTTCATGTGAAAGATGACGTCTTGTAAGTTGTGTTTACAATACCGCCCAGAGACAGTACTTGCAGTCAAAGTAAATAAATACTAAAGTGGAACAGACTAAGGCAACGACGACAGGTTGGGCCATAAGGTTTTATTTGGTTTGGAAATAATTGTATGAAAGATTTCTTTTAGTAAGTAAAGACTAGAAAATATAGACTAAAGACCCATGTAAATGTCGTCTTTAGTTAGAACTTCAAAATTTTCATGATTATAAATAAAAAAATTTTGTATGTTTTTATGTAGTTTACATGTAAATACTATAAAGTCGCAAATCAATTCATTGATTTTGCCTGGCACTTAAAATTCTATAGGAATTTATCTTTAAAACTGCTTAGTTTTGTTCTTTCAAATCTCACTCCATTCCGAAATATGTTACGAAAATTTCTTACAATGTTATTATCCAGAGGCATATTTAGGGAGGGCTATGGGGGCTCATCCCCCTCCTGGATCAGTGAAATATATGCTTTTTTTTTTGGGGGGGGGGATATTTTTAAATACTTGGGACATAAAATTTTGTCATCCAACTATGAGTTTGGCCCACTTTAGTATTCAATCACTTTGACTTACAGTACAAAAAGATGCGTACACCTCTTAAATAACTTTCCTTGCAGTATAACCTTGCTTTTAGGTTGGATTTTGTTTTCTTGACAGAGAAGATAAAAAGACAAACATCCCCGGGTTATTCCAAAACAAAAGGGGCAGCCTCAGATATGGCCAAATACTATTTGCTTCTTGACCATACTGGAGGGCTTCTAACTATATTATATCAAACTATTTATGTTCCAACTTTTCACATAGATGAGATATGTTCAAAGTAAGGTATTTTTCCCGTTTAGGTTTCAAACATGTGTTTTAGCTAAAACCTTGTTTCAACTGTTCAGAGTGTCCAATCTAATCAGACGCCGAATTAAATTAATTTGAGCCGCGGCTTAAATTTGAGACGCAGCTTAAATATGGCTGGATCCTGGTTGGATCCACTTAAAATTGTATTCAATGTTTCAAGATTGAAGCCGGCGCTCACTTGAAACCGGTTTTTGGCCGATTTGAAATTCATTAAATTCAGACTCAGGTATCATTAAAAACCAATGAACATTGAAAACATATTTATTATTTATTAACCATCCTAGGATCTTTCTATCCATATTCAATTATACAATCAGAGAAAAAGGTGCATTCAGCGCTAATAAAGAGTAAATAGAAATAGAATCATCAAGTAAAATATTGAAACTAATATATGTTGACGCAGGGGCGTACGAGGGCTTTTGTTTAGGGGGGGGCAAACAAATTTTGGGGTCCCCCCCTTGGCAACATTGTGCCCCCCCCCCTTAAAAACCCCTTATTTGAAAAAATATTGATACCTTTTTTCAAATTTTTTTTTGCCCCCCCCTCCCACCTGGACTTGTTTTGTTCACCATAAAAATACAACCCCCCCCTCGTACGCCCCTGTGTTGACAATTATGACCACTTCAGGCCCCAGGATAAAATTTGTAGATTAAAATACCAGTAAAACAATGTTTGAACAAATACTATTCAGAGTTCTAGTGGCAAACATTTCATTATTTTCTGAGGCATAAAGCAACCATAACTAATAATCATCATGAGCTCATCATAATCATCTTAAACACATTTAACCTGAATTGAGATTTCTCAAGTAAAAATATTATACTTTAGACTAGAATTGAAACATGAATATTTTTAAATTTTTTTAACCTGAAATAGTAAGTAACTGGGCATCGTTATTATACGTATATTGTACGTTTGTTTAAACATTTAGGTTTTCAGGCTTCCAGATCAGTTCAGACTAATTAAAGCTGGGATTATTAAAAATTTAACAATTTACCAATCATATTACAGTAAAGGATATTACTCATAATTTAAAAGTCTTGCAGTTTTAAGGATAATTCAAAATCAACCTTTTCAAGCTTTTCCTCTTATTGCAGCCCCTAAAAAATAAGGTAATTTTCAGTATCTTAAATTATTGGAGTCCTTCAGAATTTGTGAAAATGTTAACAGTTTAAAGGTACATGGAATTAAATTAATCCAGGCCAAAATATACATTGAGGTAGTTTGGTAATGTTACTTCGGTCCTACAGCATTTCCGTCCTACAGTACTTCTGTTCTACGATTGCTGTTCTGGTAGGACACAAATTAGTAGGTCGGATGCACATATTTTTGTCAGTTTGATGCACACTTTTTTTAGGTCGGATGCACAAGTTTTAAGGTCAGACGCACAACTTTTGTAGGTCGGATGCACAACTTTTGTAGGTCGGATGCACAAATTTTGTAGGTCGGATGCAAAACTTTTGTAGGTCGGATGCAAAACTTGTGAAGGTCGGATGCACAGTTTTGTAGGTCAGATGAATACTTTTTGTAGGTCTGATACACAACTTTTGTAGGTTGGATGCACATATTTTTTAGGCCGGATGCACTAACTTTTTTCAATTGAGTGTGATCCGACATTGCAGTTCATCGGACCAACAGCAGCTACGAAGCTGCTGAAAAAACAACTCCAGGTAGGTCCGAAGTATCGAAGGACGGATGTAATGTTAAACGGATGTAATACAATCGATTTTTTGCTGGTCCACTTGAGCCATGCGGCAAGGTAAGAAGATGTAATAGTTACGTAAGAGAATGAGCAAAAGTCTGCACATCTAAAATGGACCCTGTTGGAGCTAAACCAGCTCTAAATAGCTATGACACTGGAGTTTGGGTATAAACGTAAATGTTCCAGTCAAATCTAAATGCAAATTATATTCATTACTGGACAATTTGGTCATTTTTACAGAGGTTCGAGTAAATCAAAAATAAAAGTTGTTTTAAATCCTCCTGTATTATTACAGTGGTAGCTGCAATTATATCAAAACAATGAAGACTACTTTTGATTTCAATTTAAATTTATATCAAGCTGTTAAACAGCATGAATACACAGAACTCAAGAGAAGCTGTTAAAACAAGATCTCTTTGATTACTTGTATGAAAATTGTAAAGAGGAGCATGCATCTTTTATTAGTCTCTTCCTAAGGTAAGGTAGGCTGTCTTGCATGTAGATACACTGCGGTGGCCAGGTGCTCAGACCCTTCTTTCATTGAAGGATGGGTTCACTACTACTAATAATCTCTATTTTTATGTATTAGTAACACAATGATGAATTATAAGATCATTTTGGAACATTTTGGAGAACCTTTTAATATTAGAAAGGATTTTTGCTTGAGGTTCTAATTCTGTATTATGGGGATAGGAGCTGGACTGTTGTCTTTTGACTTTTCCCGCTAGATGATGAGGCAATATTTTTACCTAAATTATTTTATGAAAATTATGAAAATATTATTGACGCTGTCAATGTTGTTGAAAAAATTGAGATTGGTAACGAATGGTAACTTAAAGAAAGACTGGAAAAACTGTCAACTGAATAGAATGTTAAGTTCTTAGCTATAAATGAACAACAATACCTGAAAAGTTGGTCTGTTCTATTATTTTAACTAAATGTTAACGAAGGGTTTAAAGAAATGTTTGAACTGTTTAAAAAGTAAAAACTAAATTTTGATGAAAACATTTATTTTCTTTAAATCGTCAACATTGTAAATATCATGCTTGAATACTTTTTTATTGCTATCAATAATTTTTCTGAAACATCAAGATAATGAAAAATTAGTTTTATTGAGATGATTACAATAGAACTAAGAACAGGTAACAGTGTACTCTATCCTGAAGTAATGAGTACTATTGAGTATGTTACAATAGTACTAAGTACAGATAACAAAGTAGATTGATTAATCATAAAAAACCCACATCCAGAGAAGGTTTCCTAAAAATGAATTTAGAATAGAAAATATTTTAGACTAATTTTAACCAATATTCACCTCAAGTTGAATTTCCTGAATAAGAAGTAAGTATTCCATCTGTTTTTCAGGTTGTTTACAACAAGCAGATCTTAAAGAAGATTAAATATTGAATGTCTACCTTTTTTGTAGAGTAAAATATTAACTGATGCTTTTAATGTCTTGCCACTCTTGAAATAGAAAAATAAAAAAATCTCGATATTTATTTAAAATCCGATAGTATACATAATTACTATGTAAATGAAAAAATGTTACAAAGTTTACATATGTTACAACGTTTATTGTAATAACTCAACCCTGCCATATTCCTATATCTCACATGAGTGTTATAATTTGGATGAATAATATTACATTCATTTGAGCTTTTCCAAGTACTGTTGTTAATGGTCCATTGGAATAAACTCTAATCTATATATAAATTTGGCTTGTCTGTCTGTCTGTTTGTATCCAATAAACGTCAAAACGGCTGAACCGATCGGGCCCAAATTTTTTGTGGGACATCAAGGGACTCCAGGGAAGGTTTATGAATGATTGAAATTTAAATATTTGTCTCCATCAAAATTCGATCGTCATTAAATTTTTTAAAATTTTGAAAATCCGCGAAATTTTTTGTGAAAATCCGCGAATTATTTTTGTTTTGTTTTACGATGTACACAAAGAGAACATGTTCACAATTAATTTAGGAGATGGGGGCGAAGCGCCCTCAAAGGCTAGAAAGAAGGGCGCGAAGCGCCTTGAATTTCTAGTCTATATATAAAGGAATTGAGTCTTTGGAACAAAATAAAATATTTAAACCACAATATCTTCAAAACTCGATGTTGTAAACCTTTGATATTTCAAACTCAGATTATTTGATCTAACAGAATTCATAATTTGAAATATCTAAGGTATGCAACATTTGGTTCCAAAGATATAGTGATTAGAAAATCAGAGTTTGTGGCAAAGACTCAATTCCTTTAGCTTGGGTGTCTGTGTGTTTGTTTGTATCCAATAAACGTCAAAACGGCTGAACCGATTGGGCCCAAATTTTTTGTGGGACCTCACGTAACGCCAGGTAAGGTTTATGAATAGTCAAAATTTAAAAATTGTGTTTAAAAGTTTTTTATTTTTGTAAAATTTTGAAAATGCGCAAAAAAATATTATGAAATCCGCAAACTTTTGTTTGTTTTTTGTTTTATACTGTACAAAGAGAAGATGCTCACAGATAGGGTTGTTAATCGTTTTTAAAAACGATCGTTAAACAATCTTTTTTTGCTTCGTTTTTCAATCGTTTTCAAAAACGATTGTTTCGTTTTCGGAAAAAATGATCGTTTTTAAAAACGACCCACTCGTTTCGAACTTTTAGAAAACGAAAAACGATTCTTTTTGAAAACGATCATTTTTTAAAACAGATTTTCGACCGTTTTTTGTACGATTGTTTTTTAAAAAACGATCACTTTTGAAAAAACAATCGTACAAAAAACGGTCGTTTTTGAAAAAAAGTGTTATTGACAATTATGTTAACGATCGTTAACAAAGGGTCATCGTTAAAGATCGTTAACAAAGGTTTGTCGTTAAAGATCGTTAACGAAACGACGAATTTTACAAAAAACGGTCGTTTTTGGAAAGCTCTTTGAGCCATAATACACTTTATAAGAAGTTTAATGTAAGAAAATGTGGATTAAATGGAAGTTTGCATACTTGCAAGCTTTTTCTACGCATTCAGTTAACAGATCTTCGTTGCAATTCAAATATAGATTGCTAAAATCCCCTTAAAATTTAATTGATTTTCCCCATACTCCAGTTTTGGTTGCTTTAATTCGCTCGATTGCTTCGTTGATACCTGTAACGCAATTTTAGTCAAGATTTGAATTTATCCAATAAAATATAAATTATCTACACACATTTTAAATATCTCTGTCAATCTTAAAGACTACATAGCTAGCCCATATTTTTAGTGTAGACATTCTCTTTGATAAAATTTAACCTGAGAAAAGGCAAGATATTTTCAAACTTTGATTTTGTCTCCTCTGCCATTAATCCAATGTAGAGCATTTGCACTCCAGCAAACAGGGTGTATGATATCATCATTAGAAGATTTGTCAAGATTAACTTAGATTTAAAAACACCTACCACTATGAATACAAGAACAACCATAGCAAAGGTGTTAAAAGAGAACTCAGCAAAGAGGTATGGACTTAAACCTTTCTTTAACCTTCGGAACTTTTCTAAACATTTCCTTCCCCTGGCTAGTTCATCCCCAACTTCAGTTTCAAGGTTCTCCATTTGCTTCATAAAACCAGCTGTTATCATCCCAAAGGCGAGCAGCCCAGCAGATGTTAGTATGTAAATTAGAATTTGCATCAAATAAAAAAACGCTGGGTAGTTAGTCATTATCAGAGAGTTTATCTAAAATAGATACACTTCTTGTTAAAGTCAACATTTATGTTTGAAAAAAAGTTGTATAATTTGGAAGAGCACCTTTATTAAAGAACATCAAACAGTAATATATGATCAATGATAAATGCTGGCTAAATTTTAGCAAGAATATTAATTTTCGCTTTATGAAGTGGTTTTTAAAAAGCAAATCAGCATTTGTCAATACATCTTTTAAAGGACAAAGTTTGATGCAATATGTCATTTTTACAAACAATGTTGTTGTTAATGCTAAATCCCTTGTTTCAAGTAAAAGAACAACAGTATTCCAATCCCTTGCTGTGTTATACAATCTTACCATTAAAAGAAACAGTCCTAGAAGAATGAAGATGTAGAGAAGAAGAATATGCATTCTCCTTGGTCTCTCTACCTCATCAAAGCAGTCCCTTGCATGCTTTTTCATATAACCAAGCAGGAATGGCAAGGAACCACTGAGGCAATTCAATGATGCCCATTTTAAAATACTCAATACACTTGCAGTACTTTGTTCATGTTTAAGAGTAATTGAAGCAATCCAGATGCAGCAACCTAATTTGTAATAAATATAGAATATTGTGAACCATATCCCTAATGTAACCCTGTTGTAAAAGTCGTCTCCTTTGAATACTCCGTCTACCCACCAAACCAAACCTTGCCAAGGATTTTGCATAAATATAAACAATAACCTCATGGAGCTAATAAAACTTAAAGTGCATTAAAAGAACCCATTTAAACATAATTTTCAGTGAATCATTTACAAATAAACAGTGAAATTACTTTAACCAGATAAATATTCATTTCAGAAGAATTAAATTGCTTTAGACTTCAGTTCAAACAACTTTTTGGCCCAACACAGTTTTCTAGATTGTAAGTTCCACATACCTAATTCACAACAGTACCTTTTAAACCTTTTATTTATCAGTTCACAACAGTGCCTTTAAACACTTTATTTATCGATTCACAACAGCAATAAAATATGATCCCCAAATCCTGCTAAACCTACTAAACCTAAAATCTCCAATCCTGCTAAACCAATTGTTCAATACTCATTTATTGATATTATTAACAATTATTATTTATATGCATGTACGCCAATAACAATTTGTATTTTGTAGGAAACCTCGTTACTGAAATATACTTTTTTTCAAGAAGTTATCATCTATCTGTGTCTGGTAGAAAAGAGTGTTTTCCTTGCCAACTCGCCTTTCCCTCTTTCGAGTATTATTCCTTTTGTTCGGCTCACAAATATGGGTAAGAAAGTCAGTAAAATGTCAGGAACACTGTGAAAAAAGCTATCAACACAATTTTTTGTTTAAATTGGAATCCTTACACAGTTTTAAATATACTTCTGATGAATTACACTAGAGAGTGCTAGAATTATTTGACAACCCTTATTTAAGATTCAAGAGTTTTATAGTATGATCAATAGTAAAAAGGAATTGAGTCTTTGCCACAAACTCTGATTTTCTAATCTCTATATCTTTCGAACCAAATGTTGTAGACCCTAGATATTTCAAACTATGAATTCTGTTAGATCAAATATTCTGAGCTTGAAATATCAAAGGTTTTTACATCAGGGGTTTGAATATTTGAGTTTGTGGCAAAGACTCAACTCTTTTAAAAATATCTTATAGTATCAGAGCTATTTTTAAAAGCTATTTTCAGATACATTACATTTTGATATCATTCATAGTGACAACGCATACATTAAAAAAGATTTAAATTGTCTGGTGTAGCTTTGGTTTAATTCTAAGTAGTAAAAGAATTGTGGAAGACAATTATTTAAATTCTTTCACTATGTTGCTTCGGAATATTACTGCACTGGATCAAAATTTCAAAACGGAAGGTTTTTCTAGTCTCCATGGCCGCCTTTGGTTCACTTTTTCACTGCAAGGTGTCTTGCTTTGCTAAAGCATCAGTATACAGCTTAATTGAGTAAATACTAAACAGCTAACAGCTAAAATCGTTTACTTTTTAACAGTCAACTATTTAATGTAAAAAAGTATGATTCGAAACTTATTATAGGGGAAAATACCTTTAGGAAATGGTAAAGGATAACACCTGAGAATATCAGGCGTTGAATGTTAGATATACGACATCTATCTGATGTTCCAGTCTCGAGAAATTGATAAAATACTGTGTCAAATTTATACGAAAATTCATATATACATAGAATTTTGTATAAAAGTTGTAGTATTAAACAGATCATATTTAGCAAATACGCAACCAATCTGGAAACGATTATATTACACAGGAGCCTGAGAATATCAGGTTTGCTCCCATTATAATTTTTTAATTTTTATTTTGCATTTTTAATAAATATAATTGATAATATAATTACATTATAGTCTGTATAGTCTGTATTACGTCACCGGAAACTTCAACCGGCAGTGCAATATCTTTGTCACATGGTACAGACGGGATATAATCGTTTCCAGATTGGTTGCGTATTTGCTAAATATGATCTATTTAATACTTCAACTTTTAAACAAAATTCTATATATATAAATTTTCGTATAAATTTGACACAGTATTTATCAATTTCTCGAGACAGGAACATCAGATAGATGTTCAACACCTGAGATTCTCAGGTTTCATCCTATCCCCCTTTTCATTTTTCCTTTACAGTCCCTTTAATGTTGTCTCCTCCTATTCAACAGTTTTATGGTTCTCACTGCAAGAAATTGGGGTTAATTTCAAAAAAGCTACTTTACAGTGTTTTCTTTATTCCTACTCAATAAAGTTATTTTTTTTAGGGTGGTAGGTAGTGATAGCAATATATGAGGATGTTTTTAATTTAAGTTTTAATTGTTAACAAGCTTTTTTTCGAATAACAAGTTTACATTTAATTAAAAAGAAGCTTTTTACTTGACAGCTTCTCTTTGTTTCCATGTTTTTGCAGGCTGTTTAAAAGCTTGATATAACTCAAAATTAAAATCAAAAGTATTTTTCAATATATTGATATAATCGGCTACAACCATAGTAAATATGATATATATTTATTTCCCTATTTGAAATGCAGCAAAAATAAGGGCCAGAATTCGTCCCACCCATGCCGACCCAAAAATAAATCCACTGAACTCGAAAAAATTCAGTATTTTGAACCAGATAGTGTTAGAGCAAGTCTTCATTTTGAGTGTCTTATCAATACTGAGGCCATTACGCTTTCCAGAAGGTATTGCCCTGAGTAAACAGACAACCCATTTAATTATTTTTTGTTGAGTTTAGAGGTGTATTTGTTTTTAATATTGAAAATCCATTTTATTGAGTAGTGATCACCGCCCCTCCCCCAGCTTCACAAAAAATATACATTGCTCAGCTAGCCCAGCTTATACATTTAACCCTAAATTTAAAACATATAGTTTAAAGTATATTTTCGGCTGTGAGGAACTTTCTATTATTAAATCATCATTTTTACTTTTTTAACATTCTCTTTTCTAAAAAATTTTGTTTTGGACACCTCTAAAGTAACCCCCCCCCCCCCCTCCTATCTTGTCTAAGAACAGAACAGGGGAGGGAAACGTTCTTGACTAAGAACGGAATTTGGAGGGAAGAGACCATTCTTTAACTAACAACACCAAAAACGAAACGGAACAGGATTATAGTTCTTAGACTAAGAACGAAAGGGAACGGGATTGAATGGAACAAGAACGAAATGATTGGAAAAAAAGGAACAAGAACAGAACAATCTAGCTGAAGGCCCTTGTTCTAGAACTGAATGGAACGATTTAAAATAAGTCGGAACGTGCTCAGCCCTAGGTTGGAGATGTCAATGAACATCTTAACCAACTACACCAACTTCAGGTTTATTGTACGTATAGATTCATCATACACACAACATTGTACAATCCACATTGTACATCTATGCACACACAATCAGGTGCGCGCCGGTTTTTGCACTTCTCTCAGTACAAAACCTGTAATAGTTAGTAATCCTTACACTAAACACAGCCGGTAGTTGGGGTAGTAAGGGTAGTTGCCATTCAGATTTAGCATCAATGTTGTAGGTGGGGTCTCTCTAAAGACAGACGGTAGTTGGGGTAGTAAGGGTAGTTGCCATTCAGATTCAGCCTCAAGGATGGGGGTGGGGTCTCTCTAAAAACAGACGGTAGTTGCGGTAGTGAGGGTAGTTTAGAATCTAAATGGCAACTACCCTAACTTCCCCAACTACCGTCTGTTTTTAGAGACTCTGTGATTATTCTTTCCGCATGGTATACAATATGGGTATCGAGTCTCATTAAATCAATTGTTTTAAGCTTGTTTCTGGCATTCATAACACTCTCCGACCTTTACTAACCTCACCACCCACCTTTTGAAGGGTGCACATTCCGTAGTCGAAAAAAGGCACTTTATACATGCAGCTGTTTTTCTCTCCACTTGTGGTTCCATTTCGATCAGAATGTCGCTTACGATAATGGATGAATTCACAGACACGAACTCGCAAGGACCATTCATTGGGATCCAAGGCTTTCTTAAGATCTTCAGCTGCTTAAAACTGATTTAAAATTCAGTGATGGTGATGGACCAAACCTCTGTGCACTTTTCAGTTTTTAGTCTATCTCTCTATAACTTTCAGCGTCGGAACAATAGAAAAGTGCATAACTATTTAACCAATGTATTGTTTATACGCCACCCCGTACACAGAATAATCAAGTCTAGTATATAGTTTTAGAATTTATTTCCTGATCATCTAGCTGTGAAGCTGAAATATAACAATAATTATATATTTATAAAATGTAATGTATTGTAAAATCTTGCGACCAGACAAAGTTACTTAACAATACACATTAAAATCCAATATTCCAAAATGTTACGTCTGGTGATATGTTGTGACCAGATAAAAGGATTCAAAGCAACATATGAAGACTTTAAAAAAGCTTAATCATCAGTTTTAAAAGGCACATAAGAATATTTCACAAAACATAACGACGTCCCAAGCTTTCTAATAAAAATCTTACATTTGATGGCGGTTTGGTTTTCTCACACGCTGATCCAAATAAGTAGATGTTAGTTCCACATTTATTGAAAATATATTTCGGTCTGGGTTGACCCTCGTCAGTTCTTGAGATTGTTTCTTCACAAAGATTAAAAACAAACCGATTATGTTCTATTGAGGTTCCTCTACTAACGTGACTTGCGCAAATCTACTGAAGGAAAAAAATAGGATTCATCAGAATTAAACACTCTTATCCAATATCTTCCTCATTGTAAATCAGATAAAAGTTTCAAAGAAATGGTTTCAAAGTATGGAATGCGCAAAACTGAAACTGTGGAATTTTCTGCGGACATTTTTTTGCGCAAAATTTTCACGTAACAACTTTCCATTTCGCTGGAAATCTATAGTCACTAGTAGGGTTTGCATTGAAATTTTCGTTCTATTTTCGTTCGATAAAATCGAAATTTTTTCATTTTGCATCAAGAAGATTGTATTTTTTTTGCGAAAAAAAGATTTTGAATGAATTTTGCGAATTTCACAAAAATTTCAAACAAATTTCGCAAAAGTTTCGAACGTATTTCGCGAAATAAACGAAATTTTTTGTTTTCGTTCACATTTTTGTTGGCTGAACAAAATTTTCGTGAAAGAGATTGAACAAAAATTTGGAAACATTAGTCACTACCCTCCTTTGTTATTTTTCCTACTTAAAAAATTGAGGTCATCTTAAAACTGGCAAAATAATGATGCATTCGTGTTATCAGG